TCGGCTGCTCCTCCCACCTGGCGGGCGCTGCTCAGATCCCTATAGGTTGAAAGAGATGACTTTGCATTCATTTGTTGCCTAGAGGCGGACGTGAGAGCGTCTTTCCCTGGTGTCTGGTTGGGAATGTGAGTCCCATACCTGAAGTGCATCATTGATCCACTCAGCCCTCTCGTCGCTGCCGTCGACCTTCCGTGACCCGGGTCAGGCTCTTTGCTGACCGTGGATCCCGCCTTCCTTCAGAAACCCTGACAGCCGCTGGCGGGAGGGCGGGGGGGCTGTGTATTCATGTTCTCTACTTCCACACAGGCCCATGCCACTCCCTGGTAGCCACTCAGTTTGTACCACCCGGTTTCCCCTGACATTCACTCATGGCTGTTACTATCGTTTTCATACATCCCGTTTTTCATTTTGAGTGCTTCTATGTGCGACGCACTGTCATAAGCGCTTTAAAATTTATTACTTGATATATGGTTAGTGTTTTGCTTTCCACATCCTCATTTTACAAATGAGTAAACTGAGGCACAAAGATGGTAAACGGCTTGCTCAAGGTGACACTTCCAATAAGTGGTGGAGTCAGGATTTGAACTCAGTCTGACTGCAGCAAATGGGCTGTTAATCTGCCACCCTTCAAAATGCTTTCTCCAATGAGTTGAATACACCATGGGGTGATGTGCAGTCTTACAAAACACGATGATGGTTTCTATGTACTGATGTGCAGTGATCTCCAGGGTATATGGTTAAGTTAAAAAAAAAAAAAAGGGGAAACTAGGAAAGAAAAAAAGAGTATATACGCATGTTTACTTGTCTTTGCATTTAAAAACAACGCAAGGGGATAGGGATGGGAAGGAAGTGACACCTTTCATACTTTTGCCTGTTGACCCATGTATATTGTCGTTAGCTTCCTTCCAGTCCACCCCTAACTCACGGCAATCCCATGCACAACATAACAAAATGGTGCCTGGTTCTGCATCATCTGTATGATCCATTGCAGATCAGACCATTGTGATCCATAGGGTTTTCAATGGCTGATTTTCATAAATACATCTATAGGCCTTTCTACCAAGTCCATCTTAGCCTAGAAGTTCTTCTGAAACCTGTTCAGTATAATAGCAACATGCAAGCCTGATGGATGGGCGATGGCTGTACATGTTTATGTTTTACATACTCAAAAAGTCAAATAGAAATGGAAAAGTAAATTAAAATTGAAACATACTTAAACCAGTGCAGTTAACTATAAAATTGGTAACAAAAAATTAGAGAAAATACTTAATTCAAATGATTTTTTTAAATAAATTTTTTATACTTATTTTTATTTTTTTATTGTACTTCAGGTGAAGGCTTACAAAACAAATAGTTTCTCA